AATGATGGTCAAGGCACCTGTTATTACTCTATAAGTCATAAATATTAACTTCTCGAGACAAATACATGGTCACATATTCAAATGAAGCTGGGCAGGTTGAGATCCAAACCCAAATTTTATTTCAGAGCATAACTTTTGATTCTGTATTCTGTGTGTCTTAAAATACACTGTAATTCTGTAGCGCTCTTTTCTAAAGGCATTAGTGTGAAAGGTGATCATTACGTGAGTCAAAGGTTTTCTTATGTTGCCGTCCTCTTCTTCCTGGAAGATAATGATGAAACAAAGATAGACTCATAGATACAGAGAACAGACTGACAGCTGTCAGAGGGGAGAGGAGTTGGGAGACTGGGTGAAAAAGGTGAAGGGATTAATAAAAACAAAACAACAACAACAAAACACCTCATAGACAGCCTATGGTATGGTGATTACCGGAGAGAAAAGGGGTTGGGGGAGGGATATGAGGGTAAAGGGGGGATAGATGGTGATGGAAGGAGACTTGACTTGGGGTGGTGAACACACAATACAATGTACAGGTGATGTGTTATAGACATGAACACCGGCCAATGTCAGCCCAATAAATTCAATAAAAGTTTAAAAAAAAAATCAATCCCCAGCCCCGATGTGAACATCACACACCCTAGCTTTCCCTAAAGAATTGTCCTTTACCTTTTTATATCAGTGACATGGGTCATTCGTTTTGTGTTGTTGTTTATCCTTACAAAAAGAATATTAGTAAACCAGAAAGAGCCATTTTGTAAAACCTGCATAGCTAGACAGATTTGGATCCTTATTAGGGTAATAATCCATCTCTTATGGAATGGGATTGATTTGTAAATTAAATTGATTCATGTGGCAGGAGAAAAAAAGGTCTTGACTTTTCCCACAGTAGTAAGCATTTTCTCAAATGGTCATCGTCCTAAAAAGATTTGGGAAAACTCATTTCCCTGCTATTCTTCCTCTCTTTATTGCACTCAGAAAAAAGGCTTATGTGTATTAAAAGGAGGAGAGAGAGTGGAGTTCAAGCTTTGGATTCTGTTGAGTCTGCTTGCCCCTGGAGGTTCCATATTTTTGACAGGGTTTAATGTTAAAACCTTTCAGTGACTACAGAACATTTCTGATCCTCATTGATGAGTTTAGTAAACGCAGAACCATATTTGAATTATATTCTGCAATTTCACTTTATTATTTTCATCTTCTCTGATAAAATCTCCTGCTGATCCCTCTAACAATGTGTGATTGGAATAATAACTTCACATGTTGAAGAGTTTGTGCTGCAGCTGAGAGGCATGTAAATACAAGCTGCTTATTTGCAAGAAGCTTCCAGCTTTGCAATATGATTGCTATGGAAACCACATAATGAAAACCTTATAACCATCTGTGTGGTTTGATGGATTTTACTGCATAGCTGAGCTGTTTTTGTTTACTGTTATTAAAGTGTTGAATGGAATATATTAACTCACAAACGTTGACTATTTGAGGTATTAATTAGTATTGTATAATGACATCTTGCCTCAACACCAAAATAAAACATGTTTAATAATAAACCTAAATAAAGCATGTGTTCCTATTTCTAATATATTGTGAAGGTGATTGTTATCTAGAATTTTAGTCACTTGTCCTTATAGGTATTTTTGAGGGGTGTGGAGAGGCTTGTTTGTTAATAAATAAAATATATAATAGAAATTATTTTCATGATTTTTGAATCCATCTGCTCACTCAGTATTTATTAAGCATCTCCCTTGTACCATATTCTATTCAAGATTCAATCTGAATTTTTTATCCCTAAGATTAACACCTTCCCCCCACCACACACACACACCAGATTTTATTTTGTTGTCGCTTGTATGGAAGCTGTTTTATTGTTAGATAAAAACAAAACAAGTTGTTTAAACGTTGTTAAGAAAAAAATTACTGTATGAAACACAGACGGCTTTGACCTAAAAATATCAGTCCTAGGTTGGAAATGAAGAGTTTTTAATGAGCATCTGATTCTCTAAAATACTGCTTATTAAGCATCTCACATGGATTTCGATTTACATACGTATAGTAAATGTTGGTATTTAAGTAAATATTTTTAATATCATTCTGGTAATTTAAAAATACACTGTGCATATGATAGGCACTTAAATTTTACTAAGATAAGAATACAATTCATAGTAATACATTCTAACTTGTTAACCTTGCCAATAGCCAAGTTTTTATTTATGTATTATAATTACTTTCTGTGATATCTCAGCACTGACTTTGGGTGGTGAGTCTAAATCCCATGGCTTCTTCTTAGGAGTCAAGGATGCTCCTTCTTACATCAAGGGGGTTATGGCTTTTGATGGAGGACATGTGCCCTGAACTGTTTTTGAATTTACTTCTTATTGTGTTTGTGACCAAATTGGAAGAGAGGAATGCTGGGGGAAAGAGCAAGTGTGAAAAGTAAGGAAAGTTTGCTCTCACCTTCAGAAACATTCACTACCTGTGAAATGAGTAGGTTAGACCGAATGACTGTGAATGTCCCTAATGTCCTTCAAATTTGATGAAAACCTTCCCAACATCCTAAGGGGTAGTATGGTAGCTGGTCCTTGAGGTTTGGCACCAAGTGAGAACTGTCCTTGGAGAGAAAAGAGACCAGGATTTAGTATCAAGACTTTTTATTAGGTCTTCTATGCATTAATTACTACTTGACTGAGCAACATTAAATTGCCAATGTTAGGTTCAACTGACTATGTATAAGGTACCAAATATGTTCAGCTGTTCCTGATGTTGGAGCTTTTATTATTTCGTTTGAACCGAGTTACAAAAATTCAAAACAGTTGGGGTTGTCTTATAAGCACAGCAATCCCCAAGCTTGACTTAAATGCTGATTGTTATTAATCACCGCTTTAAAATTTGCACAATAAAATAAAATAAAATAAAATAAAATTTGCACGAGTCTTCTAGACTCACACGAGCCGCCCTGACCCTTCTGCCCACCTCTCCAGTTGCCCCTGGCCATTTCCTGTGGTCGCCCACCGGCATCTTCAATCTCTCATGTCAGAGCGCAGCTCCTTGCGTTTCCTCAGCAAAATAGCTTAGCTCGGCTGTTCTCTTTTTAGCAATGATGTTCCATTTTTCAGTTCACTCAGCTCAAAACCTCAGCCATCCTCCATTGCTCTCTTCCACCCCTAGCTCTGCACCTTCAGCCAGGCTCAAAGTTTATCAATCCCAGTTCCTTTACCCCTCAAGCCATCTCCTCTCCATTTCCTCTGCCCTTCAGTTCAGCACTTCCTTCCCCTTCGCCAGACTCTGAGGTCTCTCCCACATCCCCCTCCTCCAGAACCTAACACAGTGAGATCAGATGGCCATTCCTCAGGCATAACTTCAGGCCTGTCCTTTCTTTGCTCAAAAATCTTCTGGGGCTCATATCACCCACCGAGTACAAGTTGAAAGTCCACAACAGAATGGTCATGGCCCTTCAACCATTGGTCCAAACTCCCTGCAATGTCTCCCGTCCGACCCTCCCCTCTGAGTGCCATCCCACCCTCTCCCCCTGAGTGCCATCCCACCCTCTCCTCTGAGTGCCATCCCACCCTCCCCTCTGAGTGCCATCACACCCTCTCCCTCTGAGTGCAGCGTTCTTTGGCCAAAATGAATATGATGGCGTCTTGTTCTTTTGTTTATGCCTCTGTCTGGAAATTTTCTCCTTCCCGACTTTCATTCAGATCCTCTCTCTTTCTCTCTCTCTCTCTCTCTCTCTCTCTCTCTCTCTCTCTCTCTCTCTCTCTCTCGGAGCCTTCGTGGTATTCCCCTGTTGGGTGCTTTCTTCTCTGCCTCCTTCATGCCTGGGCCTCACAGGTCAGGTTTTACGCCCCATCCCGTTCCCTTTAGGTGCTGTATTCTGACCCTCGAGGCTGCCAGCTTCCTCAAGGCAGATGCTCCCTATGTCCTTGCCTACCTGGCAGAATCTGTCTCTTGCATGTAGTGAATACTCAATGAAGAGTTATTGGTTTAATTATTTAATAGTCATAATAGTTATATTTCTATATTTTGCATATTTTTCTTTAAAGTTTTGGACTTTTTTCTGTGACATTATGATTCCTTTTGAACCCACTTTTTTTTTTTTTTTTACATACTATTTCATTCATATGCCTTGCCTTAAATATTTCTAAGTTGTATATAAATCCTTAGGTGAGGAAAATGGTAATGTAAAGGCATCAAATAGTCTATTGACTTTGTTAAAAAACTGTTCTCGTTTCATCTGACCATATTCTTCCTGTAACTGGAGAGGGAACGTGGTGGGAGAGTGTGCAAACAGGTAAGGCACTTGCTATGTGCTGGATAAGGGACAGAGACTTTAGGATCACAACCCTGAGTTTGAATAACAAAAGGTAGAAATTGCTTTATCTTTTCCAGTCTCAACTTAGTCACCTGAAATATGAGGACTGCAGAAGTATTTATCTACGACATCCGTACCTGTGCTGTAGAGTATGACCCCAGAGTAGGTTCTCGGTATAATGGGGGGTCTTTGTAGGGTAAGGCTCCTTCTAGTGCTCTTCTCTGAAGATCAAGTGAGAAAACCTATGAAGTCTCTGATACTCAACAAATGACTTTTATTTCACACACTTCTCTCGGCTACGTAGATGTTCTAGAGACCATGGCTTTATCTGTGGCTCTCCTGCTGCCGCTTTATGTGGTCTTTGTAGTGCTGGGTATCATTTTACTGAATGGCAGGGCTTTTCTGGGCCTGAGGTCATCCTAGATGAGTCTCTGTAAGTATGTAAAACAACAAAGCACTGGTACATCTCTCCTATTAAGCCAACTGGTAAGGTTGCCAGTATTTGAAAGTAGCTGGAGGTCTATTTATTCAACTTCAGGTTATTGAAAAGGGCGTGTGAATGTGGAGTGGTTTCCTTCTCCGAAAAGGAATCTTTTTGTTCTAAACGTTTAATTTTGCTCTTCAGGTGGGGTGAGTCCTGTACTGTTATCCCGGGGAAACCCTGCAGTGAGCCGTTTATGTTGTTTATTCACAGATGAGGAGGAGGACGCCGCTCCGGGGAGAGTGGATGAGCAGAGGAAGACGAGCCAGGACAGTGGCCATCACAGCACAGGTACTGGCCCGGAGCCCCCGGGGACACGTGTGTGGGTCATGCTCACTGCCTCGCAGCTCCGAGGGCGTTTGCGCAGCTCCCCAAAGGGGGCTCCTTCATTCTGGATGTCTCACGGCTGAGAAGCTGCTTAGCCCCATTTAGGATGCGTGGAAACCACTTGAGAAGGATTTATAAAGTAAGCCAATTTATACAAGGTATTCCTTCCTGAATTACTTTGTAATGACTCAATTAGCTTTCATTTCTGCACAAAGGAGATTTGGTTGCATAAATTAGCTTATCATCATTGAGGAAGTGTCACTGCTAAAGGACAGCTTATAGATACAACATGCAGTCGCTGTCAAACCTATAAGAATGTAATATAGACATCTGTGTATACTTTGTGCCTGAGCAGAACAGACTTCTGCCATTCAGAGACTAACAGGGGACAACAAGTTGCCCAGGGGACTGGCAATGTAGACATCTCTGAAAAGGTCAACTTGACACAGGCTCTGACAATCGACCCGCTGCTCTGTCTTCTTTGATAAAAATCAGATAAACTTAAGACCGCTAATTGATCTGCAGCCTGTTTAAATGTTGGCCATGCATATCTTCATTGCATATGATTAACACGGAAAGCGAACCAGCGGGGTAGGAAATGCCAGGGTCCAGTGACAGCGGCTTCAAAACCGAAAAAGGACACGGGTGGCCGACACGTCTGGGAAGGAGGGTCCCCTTATCCGTGTCCCACTTGCCACGCCACCCCAAGCACTAATTATGCCCGAGGCTGGAGAAAGAGCCACATGTGCTGTGAGAGAACCACATGACATGGGCAGCTGCTCTCTGCTGTTTGTTATTTCCAAACAGCGGGAGATAAACCCTATCTGTGGCGCAAGCACGGGGTGAGTTTTGATAAGCCAGCAATTATTTTACACGACAGACGAGAAGGACAGCGTCTTATCAGGACTCCAGCCTCTCCACGGCCACACGTCAGTGGGGCAAGGCCTGCCCCCTCGTCCCACGTCCGGAGAGAGCGGGAGGTGGGGTCGCCTTCCGCTCTGATGGTCCATCCATCACTCTCTCCGGCTGTCAGAGGCCGGGCGGACAGGAGTGTGTGTTCAGGAAGTCGCTTTCCAGAGTCCTTCCGACGGCGACATGTGGAAAGGAAACGGGCCGGGTTTCCGGCCGGGCAGGAAGGCAGGAGCAGGTTGCTGCGGGAGGCTGGGGTTTGCTTTTGTCAGAAAGGAAGTGAGGCCAGAGTCAGGAGCTGTGAGCACTCAGGCCCGGGAGGCGCAGCCATAAACCCGGGCGGGGAAGCCTGCAGGCCGCGCTCAGCAGTCATTCAGGGGAGAAGTTTTATTACGTGTCACACAGCCTCCACCTAAAGAAGGCACGTCCCTTCCTTTTCAAACACATACGCCATTCTTCCCACACATATACGGATCTTGGCTGAAAGCACCTGTATTTTGCAAAACCCTTTGATAGTAACTATCTCCCAAATGTTTGTCTCTGAGTGGAGGGAGGAAAATCAGGCTTTCCTCGGAGGAATGCATTCAGTGGGTCCAGTTCCTCGTGCAATAGCCATAAATTAGCACGGCAGTAATTCTCATCTCCGGTGACATGAAATTCTTTTCAAGCAGCAGTCCCCCTGCGCTCACAGCACCGCGACCTCTGCTCCCCGAGGCCGGGAGGAGGTAACCCTAGAAGTTTGTTTGCCGCGCAGGGCGGCCGCTGACAGGGGTATTGCTATCTGGCTGCGCATCGCACGACGTGAACTTCTAACCTTCCTCAAGAATGTTCTATCGTTTTCACATGGGCTGATTTTGCTAAAAGAAAGAAAAAGAATCAGACTAGTGTAAAATATGTAAGCGAAACAAAATGAATCACGGATTCCTTACGAGTTCTTTCATGCTCATGCTTCTAGATCTTGCTTACATTATTACACATAGCCTAAAGGTTCCACTTTGTGAACACTGTGCTTACCTTTCTGAAGTTGTTTTTAAAGTATGACACTACTCAAGGAGAGAGTCTCCATTGTTTTATTGTATATTTCCTCCATTGTCATCCTTTTTAAAACCTTTCCATTTTTTGCAAAAGCATCTCCAGCGTTTAGTTTATAGTTTCATCATAATTTTGCTCTTAACCTGTTAACCGAGCGGGACCTATAACTACGTCAAACGTGAACAATATTGGGAATGGGTAGGACGTATGAATACGTCCTTGAAATATATGTTGCGCCCTGAGAGGGATGGTATATATTTTTTGTAATCTTTATCATTGTTTGTAAAATTTATAATTTTTTAATTCAATGTTTCCATTTTTTTGTTGGTATTCTTTTCTATTTGTTTATAATTTTGTATTTTCCTTTGTGTTTTATATATAAATAAACGAGAAATATATATTTTATTTATTTTAATTAAGTATAAATAAAAAAAATAATATAAAATTACGTCCACTGGGGCTTGACGTACTGACACGTCCTAGAGAAAGAGAATGCGCCCGTTGTATGTTGTGCAATTAAAAAGGGAACTCCCCGGTTAACAGGTTAATGCCCAATGGCCTGTTTTTGTTTTTTTGTTTTAAAAAGCAAGAGCAAGTATATTGTTTAAATCTGTCACAGGCTGGCTAACTTAGATACTTTTTCCCTTCTTTTTTAACCATTCATGCCTCTCAGGACAAGAAGCATAAATAATGAGAAGATTTTCTGGTAATTTTGAAAACAGATCATGACGTGGCTGGGATAGAAAAACCAATCCGTGCGGTAAAGACAGCTAACCGGACTGTGTTCAGCGTGTACGCCTGGCTGTGGTCTATGACACGAGGCGTCCCCCCACGTTCTGTTGTGTCTTAGAAAGCACACTTCCCCTGGATGCGTTTTGGGTGTGGAGCTGAGCAGGGTTACTTCGTGAGCCCACGGTGCTTCTGAGACCACGTCTGGGCACAGTTTCCCGGTGTCTGTTCAGCTACAATTACAAATTTTAAAAAGTAAACCAGAGCAGCAAGGAACCAGACGACCCCTCATTTTATGTCTGGGGTTGACCCCAAGGGCCTGAGCATGAGCATTCCTCCCAAGGAGACAAAGGGACGCAGCACCCGCTGCCCGGCCCCTCCAGCGGCGCTGGAGAGAGCGGTAACGTGCAGGCCCAGGCAGCACGTGGCGCCAGCAGCTTATGACTCCTCCGCAGAGCTCACATAGGGGACCCAGAAATGAGGTTGGTCTTTGGGTAACATCATCATCAAGGTTACAGAGAGCGCAGAGGGAACCGCGCCTGCGCGGCCTGAGAGTTAATGAAATGCCCCTGATGCACATCTAGTGCGCGCGGTGGGGGTCCCCGTGCCCCGCCCGGGCTCCTGCAACTCCCATTAGTGGTAATGGGAGCCTCACCGAGCGCGGCGAGGGGAAGAGAGACCCCGAAGTGATAAGGATTATTATGCATTAAAAACGATCATATACTTTTCCTTTGCTTCCTTCCTTCCCCCCTCCTCTGGAACATCTTTTGCATGAGAAGCTGCTGGGAGAGAGTCTGAAAGGGGAAGAGCAGGCAGCGGGCTAGACAGCGGGGGGGAGCTGCTGGGACGCCCTGGCCACGCCACCGCTTCTGGTCTAGTTTCTAGCCCAAGTTCCGTTTCTTTGGCTTTTTTTTTTTTTTTGGATCAGGACTAAGGCTGAGCAGCATGGGGAACACACAGGAGCCTCAACTATTTAGATCCTTTCACCTCCGGGCCAGTGACGGTGGGGGAGGGCCGTGCATGCGAAATGATGTCATCCTCTCTCTGCTCTAATTCCTGGACTTTTTAAACTGACACTGACGGACTGCACGGGGCGCAACATTTGACCCATTTAGCAATTGATTTAATCTGACTAGGATGTTTCAGCTTCTAAATCTCTATTTGTCTAAATAAGTGGTTTTTAAAGGAAATCAGTCACTTTATTATTAAGTAATTTTTATCTAAAAAAAAAAAATTGACAATGTTTGGAGTGATCTGTCCAGCCAGAGTGCCCTCTAGTGTCCATTTATGGGATTTACTTCAGATAGGCTTTTGGTGGGGGGCGGGGGAGGGGGAATGTAATGAAGGAGGCCACAGCATAGTTAGTTCTTGGTTGGATTCCGGGCTTGTGCACATCCCTGCTGGTATCTGTGATGGGTACTCAAATGCTAGAGCGGAGAGGTCAACAAGGTTCGTCTCTCTCTGCCTTCCTCCCATCCTCCCTCTTTCCCTCGCCGCCTCCCCCTCCTATTTCCCTCCTCCCCTCCCTCTCTTTGTTTTAATTCTTAGAAAACGCAAGGAAAAAAAGCGAGAGGAAAAAAAAAAAAACTAATAGGATTTTTCTAGGTTGTGTATTCTAGTCCTTGTTTATTTAAAAGCATAATTGAAAAGTAGCATCTTACTTCCTAATATTCAGACTCCCCTACTGTTCAGATTTTCTCCTTGGCTTTAAAAACTATTTCCACTATTGAAGAGAATTTTAAAAGTTCCAAATGCACACGGCGCTTTGTACGTATCACAAACCATGTGTCACGAAACGAGCGCCCTAATGACATGCTGATGTGACGGGCTGCGCTGGAATTGCCAGCCAGCCTGCTGTGTGAGAGCCATCTCACAAAACTAGAATGACAATCCCGCTCCAGCGTGTGTCTCCACAGTCATCCCCTCCGAATTCAGAGATGACACTCCATGATGGAAGTTGTCAGCCCATGGATGTTCTGCCTGGTTAGCGACTACACGGACATCTTAGTGCTACCACTTGCATTCTCTCTGCTTGCATTCTTTTTGTGTTAACTCATCAAAACTCAATTATCATGAAATTAAAAACAGGAAGCAGTTCTCTGGGTAACAAAAGCACCCAGTGTACTTAACTCTGTGCTGTGTCTGAGGAGAGCCACAGTGTGTGAGTGACAAAGCATTTATTACCCGGTTTATTGTGGTATTACAGAGCGGAGAGCGCTAAATAATCAATCAGTTAATGGTCTGTATGGCAGCTTGAGCACATCACATCCATTGTGCTTATGCTGTTAGAAGGATGAGCTGATAACTCCCGTGTATGTTGCATGTTTATTCAGAGCCTAATGTCCTAAACTCGGGCTGACAGGAATCTTGAGAAACGCAGCTTCAGCCCTGACAATTTCTTAAGTTGCTAAAATGTTTGTAAAATAACTCGGGGAGACTTTGGGTCCAATAGTCCCCATAGATAAGAGCTGGAATTACCCTTTGTATTATTTCCACTTTCTCCTTTTTTTTTTTTTTTTCTTTCTGAAACTAGCTTTCGGTTTTAGAATGTTTAGAGAAGTGTTCCCTAGTCTGGGTTAGATTTGCGCCTCAGCTCCTTTGTTATCGTCCTTGGAATGGAGTGTCCGGGTTCTGTAAGGGTGGTTACCTCGCACACAGTGTTTCTCACGCCTCGTGGCTGTTGCTCACCATGCAGTGTGGGCCTTATCCTCAAAGCGCGCTGCCAGGGGCTGAGGTGCGTCTGTAAAATGAGTGGGAAGTAACTTTCAGGTGCTGGTTTGATGAGAAAACGGTGCGATTACAGATTTTAGGCGAACAACAAAAGGAGAGAAAGATAAAAAAAACACACAGACATTTCTTTAGGTGGTGATAGAAGTAGGATTCTTGTACGGAGGTAATAAACATTTCCTTGGAATCAGGAGTGGATTTTTAGAATATTTTGGTGGTTTGGGGTGGGATTGAAATCCCATCCACCTTCCTTTCTCTTGGTTCCTTTTGAAGTGAGGGCCCAGTGCAGGAGACCTCTAACTCACGCCTTCTCTCCCTTCCTCCTAGGAGATAAAAGCACCGACTACGCTAATTTTTACCAGGGTCTGTGGGACTGCACGAGTGTCCTTTCTGACGAGTTGTCATTTAAACGCGGGGATGTGATTTACATTCTGAGCAAGGTAAGAAGACACCCGAAAGTGACAGCTGCAAAGGGTGAACACACAGCTAGGTGGTTATGCATCTGGATGGTAACCCTGGGGAAAATGCCAATCGGAATTCTTCTAGGTCCTTGTGAACAATCGGGAGTTCACAATAATTAATTATTTTGTCAAGTGAAATATAATCAAAATTTAAACACAATCAGATAACAGGATTCGACTTAGCAGTGTGTTTATCTATCACTTGAGCCTTTGGCTCCCATCCACACCGCCTTCTCCAGAAACAATATACTTATGTGCAAGTTAACATTGTAAGGTATTAGGTTATTTATTATGTTTTTCTTTCCTCTTCCTTTTTATTCTTCTGTGTGCTTATTCTGATTTTGCCTGCCATTCACTACTGGAAACACCGTGTTTATAGAATAAGCTTTTCATCTTTATGTAAATACGTGGGGTGTTCCGACAATTTAAGAGCAATGCCTTTCTATTCAGACAGGTTTAGGCAATTTTTTTCAAGGGCCTAGTTTCGTTTTGAATAGTTCTTTATTGATTCCAGAGAGGAAGGGAGAGGGAGAGAGAGATAGAAATATCAATGATGAGAGAGAATCATTGATAGGCTGCCTCCTGCACATCCCCTACTGGGGATTGAGCCCGCAACCCAGGCATGTACCCTGGACCAGAATCCAACCCAGGACTTTTCAGTCTGCAGGCCGATGATCTCTATCCACTGAGCCAAACCGGCTAGGGCTAGGTAATTTTAAAAAAATATATTTTATTGATTTTTTTACAGAGAGGAAGGGAGAGAGATAGAGAGCTAGAAACATCGATGAGAGAGAAACATCGGCCAGCTGCCTCTTGCACACCCCTACTGGGGATATGCCTGCAACCAATGTACATGCCCTCAACCGGAATCGAACCTGGGACCTTTCAGTCCACAGACCGACGCTCTACCACTGAGCCAAACCGGTTTTGGCAGGCTAGGTAATTTTTTAAAAAAGTTTAACATAATTGTATTTGTAAACTAATAGCAAAATATGTTGCTTACACTCATCATTTTTTTAAATATATTTTATTGATTTTTTACAGAGAGGAAGAGAGAGGGATAGAGAGCTAGAAACATCGATGAGAGAGATACATTGACCAGCTGCCTCCTGCACACCCCCTACGGGGGATGTGCCTGCAACCGATGTACATGCCTTTGACCGGAATCGAACCTGGGACCTTTTAGTTGGCAGGCTGACGCTCTATCCACTGAGCCAAACCAGTTTCGGCTGAACTCATCTTTATATATGAAAAGTCATGAATGCGTCTCTTTAAGAAATTGGCTTATTCAAAATTTTTCTGTGATTACGGAAACTGTATGAAAATGTAGAAATCGTAAGTCTAGGAATGTGATGTGGTTTCTTGATTAGAGAAATATTTTGGGCTGTTCAGAAAGATGCTGTGATTGTTAGAAACAGAAGAGAATTCTAACATTTGTTGGCTGGTGTGTAAAATTATAGCAGAGAGTCATAGACCGATTGAGCAGGGGATCATAGGGATCATCTGTGTGTTTGTGGCTTTTACAGGTAAGGGGCTTGAGTCAAGAGCAGGCCAGTGCCTGTGCCTCACAAGGCATCTTGACTTCCAGATCAGGGCTTTCTGCTGTTTTCATCTTGTGCTTTTCTCTTCCTTCCTTCTTCCATCCCTCTCTCCTTTTCCCTCCTCCCTTCCTTCTTTTCATCCTTGTGTTTAATTTGAAACCATTATAAAGTACCTATAATGGGCCAGGTCCCGTCCTAAGCACCAGGAATGCAAAAGAGATACGATATAACCACTTGTAGATTATTGGGGGAAGTATTTGCTAAGTAAATGCATATAGCCAACTGTGATAATTGCTGGTTGAGGTGCCCAAAGCTAAGGTTATCTTTTATTTCTCAGTCCTCTGCTCATTAGTGTGGGATTTTTTAATATATATATTTTTGAAAGACACTTTCAGTTCTGGGAGCTCTAAATGGCCATATCATAACTCTCACCTTGGGCCTATTATCAAGAACTTGATTGCCTGAGTTAAAACAACAGGTTTTTGAGTTAATGACTTAATATAGGAACAAGATGATTAGTTTCAGTTCCTTTTAAAAATATTTTTTTTATTGATTGCAGAGAGGGAGAGAGAGATAGAAACATCAATGCTGAGAGAGAATCATTGATTGGCTACCACTCATGCACCACCCTGGGGATCGAGCCCACAACCTGAGCATGTGCCCTGACTGGGTATCGAACGAACCATGACTTTCCGGTTCACAGGTCGCCACTCAACCACTGAGCCACACTGGCCAGGCTAGTTTCAGCTCTTAACAAACTTCCTTGGCATCACTCCTCAAATTTACCTAGCTCACAGCTTCTTTCACCAATTTAGCTGTAGTTGTGTATAAAGTTAAAAGATTGATGAGCCTTCACTTGGAATCTCCTATTAGAGGAGCAAATGGCAGATACTCATTATATTTCCACTAGAGGCTCGATGCATGAAATTCGTGCAAGAGTAGGCCTTCCTGCCCCTGACTGCTGGCACCGGCTTCCCTCTGGCACCTAGGACCCAGGCTTCCCTCACAGCGTCGGCTTCATCCAGAAGGATGTCCGGTCTAATTAGCATATTAGCTTTTATTATTATAGGCAGTAAAATGTGAAATCATGAAGCCCAGGCGGGCCTGCTCTTAAAGTCTTCTCTCCGAACCAGGCTGTCTTTGTTGCTGAAAGCCTCGGAGTACCAGCCTCCTGGAGGGGCTGTGAGGCGGGCAGCATCCCAATGGGCAGGTCTCAGTCCTCCCATTGCCTTCGAAACCATTTCCTGTTACTATGAAATTAAAACGATAATCACATATGTGTGCTGCACTTCCAGGATTCCCGGGGAGGTAATTCCAGCACTCCCAGAACTGTTTTGTGGGGATGCTAATTTTATCTGTGAGGCCTGGTCGTAGAGCCCAGGTTAGTGGCGGTCCAGCGTAGGGGCTAACACACATCACTACCACTGGCTGAGTGGCTGTCAGATTTGCCCAGCTGTGGTCTTAGGGTCAACCAGAGAGGTCTTAGTGCAGGGGAGGGTGAGAATAAAGGACACTTAGCTCTCCCTCGAAGGAATGTGAACTAACTCTGGGCCGTTGATGGGTGTCCCTGCAGTCGGTTGTCTGGTTGTTTGTGAAAACTGACTCTTCCATTTGGCTTTGGGCAAGTTCAGATTAGAATCTCTGGAGACTAAATTTCTATTTGGTTTGGCCTTCCAGTTTTTATCAAAACTTGGCAAGCATAGACCATAAATTAATATCATAAGTTCACTTAATATATGAATGATGACAGCAATTTAAATTCTTGGCATTACTGTAAATTCTGAACTCAAGGCCCTTAGTAAAGAGAGTGAAACATTGCTCAACGGGGCTTGTTTTTAGATCAAAGTAGAGTTGATTGTATATATTGATAGACTTTTTAAAAAAAGTAGAATTAGTATAGAAATCACTAGCATTGTTATAGGCCTAGAAATTTCTTTAGTCTTTGTCAGAGTTATATTTAGATGTGGTGATGATGGCATGAAATGTTACAGTTTTTAATTCATTTGTTACACCATCTAGTGGCTCAGAATGAGTGGTGCAGGTAATTGTGGTTAATGTGCACAATCAAAATGATGTCATAAATCCAACTTTAAATCCAGCCATGGGCTATTACTTTCGTATCTCGTATCAATAAAATATTAGCATTAATCATGAATTTTTTTCACCATTCTGAATTAAATGTAAAAATTATATACATAAGGAAGAATACATTTTAAGGAATCTAACACAATATTTATGGAGACATAGAAAATGTATACTTTATAAAGAACTTAATGCCACAACTTTTCTAATAACACCCTTTAAAAGGGTGTTGTTAGAAAAAATTCTGAAGATATATAGCTTGCTTTTAATAATTAACTGATCTATAATTTGCAACATTTAATTATCTGTTTGCCTTGCCTTCTGGGAGGCTGTGAGTTCCGAAAATACTTTTGTAAAAAAGGCAACAAGAGGTAGTTTAAGAAAAATGTATTCTTCCCATATAAATAAACATCTAAACGAATCATGAAATAAAATGGCACACATTATAATAAAGAGTGTTTTAATTCTGTAAGTGTAGTGACAGAAAGAGATCTCACTGGTTTGCGATTAGACTGTCTTCATTGAAATTCACGAGAGATGCCATTTCATTTTTAAACGCAGCCTTCTGTCTTGGAGAGGAAGCCGAGATGGGTGTCAGCTGTGCTCCGTCAGCCTGGAGCTGATTTATTTGTTTGGGGCCTCTTCTGAGAGTCATACACATCTTAGCCGTGCTTTTTACATTTTTGGTGAGAATCAAATGCCGCAGTAAAGGAAGAAGAGCAGGCAGATACCCCGTTCTCCCTGTGCCTTTTCACATTTTCAATAGCAGCTGTCACATGACCCTGGCTGGGCTAGCTCCTCCTTCCAAGAGTCCCGCATTTTCTTCGTTTTAACCTTTGAACCTCGCTAGTAATAAATCGAAATTCTGCTTGCCTGGAAAAGCGAGCCGGTTGGAGGAGCATTTTGGGTACAGTTCTTTTCATCAGGGTTGCTGCTGGTTTTCTCTTTGTTTTTTAATGTATTAAAATAAACACTTTATAAACTTCAATAGTTCAGTGGAGATTTAGAAACACCCCCCAAATGGAGCACTTTTTCTGGGGTGAATAAAACTGGGATTTGTCATTTTAATGACAGCTGCCTTGTCAGTGAATGAACTCTGAAACAAGGCCTGGTTTCAGATTCATTTGATGGGGGAAAATAATTTTTTTTAAAGAATAGGGTTGTTTAAAATCATGCTAAATTCTCTAACCAGTTTGCACTTCAATTGTATTACCACCTTAAACGTGGACATCTTCTCATTCTATAATAGTATTTCCCTGGAACGGTGTTTGTGAGATTTTATGATTTTGACGGCAGGACCCAGGCTGGATAGCTGTAGGCATTTATGGCCCTGCATACCTCTCTGGTATGCTATTC